AGTTACTCAAGCAACTGGATATGATTTTGGAAACGGTCAGACGTTTCAGCTATAGTATCCACTAGCTTTTGGCACTGACTGTCACTGACGAAAGCTAGTGGATACTAGCTGAAACGTCTGACCGTTTCCAAAATCATATCCAGTTGCTTGAATAACTGCTTTTTGATGTATCTTATTACCTGGATGTTTAACCGTTGAAGGGGTGATACATTGTGTTAGGGGAGGGTACACTGTACTTTAGGGGATGGTACATTACATATGTTTGCCCCCCTCCCCCAGGATGCGTTCTGGGTGATCTTAGTGCTCCTGACGGACAACAAGCACAAGATGCACTGGTGTAGGGGAGGGGTTAGTACACCATATGATAGGGGATGGTACACTGTATGTGAGGGGAAGGTACATTACGTATGTTTGCCCCCCCCCAGGATGCGTTTTGGGCGATCTCCGTGCTCCTGACAGACAACAAGCACAAGATGCACGGGTTCTTCATCCCCGGCTTCCCCAAGCTGCTGCGCTTTCAGGATCACCACGACAAGCTGCTCGGCAAGTTCCTGCCCAAGGTCAAGAAAAACCTGGTGAGTAACTCAAGGTCAAGAACCTGGTGAGTACCTCAAGGTCAAGAAAAACCTGGTGAGTACCTCAAGGTCAATGAAAACATGATGAGTAGCTCAAGGTCAAGAAATAATGATACCTCAAGGTCAAGAACCTGGAGAGTACCTCAAGGTCAAGTAAATCTAAAGGGTGCCTCAAGGTCAGGAAAAACTTGGCAAGCAGCTCAAGGTCAGGCCAAACCTTGCGACAGTCTGAAGGTCATGAAAAACCTGGTGAGTAACTCAAGGTCAAGAAAAAACTAGTACCTCAAGGTCAAGAAAAACTTGGAGAAAGCTTGAGGTCAGGCTAAACTTTGTGATAGTGGTGAAGACGTGAGATCTGCACATCGCTGTACTCCGTTGTTTATTTGTTTCTTATTTGTTAACATGAATGTGATATACTCAATGATATTTGTATGTTAATTACCAGGACCTGAATGAGATCCACACCTCGCTGTACTCCATGAAGTGGTTTTTCCAGTGTTTCCTCAGCAGAGTTCCCTTCAGACTGGTCCTGAGGCTCTGGGACATCTACATCCTAGAGGGGGAGGCCGTCTTAACCGCTATGGCCCTCACCGTCTTCAAGATGCACAAAAGTAAGCATTATGAATTTTGAAAAAATCCCTGGTCTTCACTGCGCATAGCATACAATAAAAATGATGGACACCCAACAATAAGGTACCTAAAGGCCTGCTCAAGATGCACAAAAGTAAGTCTCAAGATGCACTAACATATGCAGGAGTAAGCCTCATACATGTACATGGCTCTTTGTAGTATTTTAAGTCTGAACATTAATTTTGAAACAACAGTTTTGTCAGATTGAGCAGTGTTCTGTGTTTGTGAGTGAAGGTTAGACATCCAGGATTGGTGTAACCTCTTATTTACCTTGTGTGTGTAATTAATGGCGGGCCTTGACGAAGCTAGTAGGCTCTACGCATCATGTGCGCATGGATTGAGTGACTGAGTGAGTGTTAGTGTAATTTACAAAAGTCATGTACCTTATGTTCCAGAGCGTATCGCTAAGATGGAGATCGAGCATCTTGCCACGTTTTTCCAGAAGGATCTTGAGGAGGATTTTGGGTACGATGACGATGAAGTGATCGACCAGCTGCAGCTGACCATGTCCGACCTTCGCAAGCAGAAACTCGACCTTCCACCACCCCCCAAGGTTTGTTTGTTTATTTTTTTTGGTTGTATATTCTATTGTGTGACAATCTTGTGTTGCATTGGTGGGAGACATGAGTGGTACTACATGTAACTCTTGTCACATATGCGCTGTCTGTTTATTTACCAAAGGAAAACATACTGTGTTGTTTTTGCTCAGTTTCTTCTTCAAACAAATACGGTCAATGACCTGAACCAGACGTCTGTCACTGTGGTAACTAGTGTTGGGTTACATCATGTTGTAATTTTATAGCAGGAGGGATTTAAACTCCTGTCTGACCATATGTATGAATGTGTTTGAGTAAGTATTAACAGAGTAGATCATATATCGAAGGTAAACATTATGCATTTGCCTTGCTTGTTTGCATAATTGTGTGAGAATCTGGTGTTGCTTTGGTGTGAGATATGAGTGGTACTAACTCACATGCCCTCTGTTTGTCTGCAGGTCCCGGAGGTCCCCCAGATCCCGTTCGGTACCGGCGGGAATACACCTTTGAGGAGATGACCGGGATCCGTGGCGCCCCCAGCGGCGTTCCCAACGGCACGGGGGTCGTCAGGGTCGACGTTCAAAGGTCGCCCAGCCCCACCCCCAACAGGACTCCTTCCCGGGAGGGCTCCTACAGGCGGCAGTCTCCACGGCAACAGTCGCCTAGGCAACAGTCACCACGACAACAGTCTCCAAGGGAACCATCTCCACAGCAACTAGAACCGACCAGGTCGATGAGTCATCGGGACGAGGCTCCTGATTGGTCGGTTCCGCAAGGCACTGTCAGCCAACCGCAGGAGGCCGTGATGACGTCGCCGCTGCCGAAGGAAACATGGCGGACGACGGACCTGGACAGTGCCGGAGCGTTGCCCCCGGCGATGACCTTCCACCCCGAGCCGACGTTCCAGTATCCCGAGCCGAGCGAACGCCTTCCGCAGAGGCAGCCGTCGTGGAGGACAACCAACCTGGACAACCCTGTTCCCGCCAGGACAACCTCGGACAACCCCGCCAGGCAGCCATCTGTCGCCGAGCAGCCCCGCCTGGTAACCGTCGCCGAGCAGCCCCGCCCGGCGACTGGCCAGGTGTACCACCTGCCCACGCAGCACTTTGAGCGGAACGGGAAATCCCTGGACGTCACCGTCCAAATAAGGACTTCCCCGCTGCCCAGCGGCGGTGACCCAGGGCGCAGTGACCCAGGGCACACAAGCCCGCGGCGCGAGTACGAGTTTCGCTCGCCGGGAGGGGTCGGAGGTCAGCACATCCTGCCTGGTGGCGGGGTCGGGGGTCAGCACATCCTGCTGGGCAGCGGGGTCGGGGGTCAGCACATCGGCGGGGTCGCCCAGAACGGGCTGGAGAGGCCGAAGGTGAACGGTCGCGACCCTAACCGTGACTCGGCGTACTCACACAGCTCGGATTACGATAACGTGGATGGGGACCAGTACGAAGTCTTCATGGAGAAGTCGCTGGAGAATCTCGAGTCCGGAACCGCGTACGACTCCGACGTGCCCAACGAACTCGCCTTTAACAACCAACATGGCCGCCACTCCCCCACCAAGGTCAACCAGCATGGCCGCCAGTCGCCGGTCAAGCGCCCCGACCAGCTCACCATCCACGAGCACTCCCAGCATGCTCCGCAGGACTCCCAGCATGCAATGCAGCAGCCGCGCGGCTACGAGCACTTCGTCGAGCTGCCGCAGAGGATGGGCAAGGACGTTCAAGGTCACGGGGACTTCATGCCCATGGCGCAGACGGAACACAGGCAGCGTGGGTCGCACTCAAGGTCGTCAGGGTCAAAAGTGAGATCCCCAACTGGATCTAACCCACGATCTCCCATGGGTTCTAACCCAAGGTCACCCATGGGATCCAACCCAAGGTCACCCATGGGTTCTAACCCGCGATCTTCGGCGGGATCACATGATCACAGATCCCACGGCGGCAGTCAGAGCGACAGGGGCAGTGCCCGCAGACGCTCCAGCAAGAAAAAACATCCGCCAGTCTACCTGTAAACAACTGTTTACCTGTAAGCAACTGTTTACCTGTCAACAACTGTTTACCTGTCAACAACTGTTTACCTGTAAACACTTGTTTACTTTTGACACCTGTAAACACTTGTTGACTTGTGTGAACAACTGTTTACCTGTAAACAACTGTTTGCCTGTAAACACTTGTTTATTTGCCGACATGAATTTGTCAATTGTTTACCTGTAAACATTTGTTATGTAAACACTTATGTAAACACCTGTTTACCTGTAAACATTTGTTTACATGTCAGCAGCGTACTTGTTGTTATGATTAAGAGTTGCTGAATGATTATGTTAATAATTATTAATTATAAAGGGCAGAAAAGTTGTACATATTTTGCTAGGAAGACAGGAATTCTGGGATAGTCGCACTTTGGTGGGGGTGGCTTATTATTGCTTATCATTTATTGTAATAATTATTACAATTATAATTTTAGCCACGCGCTTGTGGAAATAAGAGAAAATTTGACAATTTTGGTGTTTTAGTTTTCCCATGGCCTCTACATAGGAATTGAGGCTGGTAAACATTAACATTAATTACCTCAAGACTAGAAAATATGATGATTATTATTGCGATGAAAAAAATTGTACATTTTGGAGGCAAAAAGCTACCATTCTACTGCAGGGTCAGAGGTCAACATGCTCAGGCTAAAACTCATCTAAACTAAAAAGAAATATGTGAGAACTCTACAGCTTTCTATTCTAAGGCCACACCAAGCTACATTTTGTAATTTGTTGGTTCTCGGATTTTTTCCAGAAAAAACGACGGCGAAAAAAGAGACAGGGCGAAAAATAAAAAATGAAAACAGGTGTAGGCATCCTATTATAGCCCCAAATGCAACGATAGGAGCCATGAAGTCAACACAAAAGGCCTGGTTTAATATTTAAACAAATTCATAACTTTTAATCAAACCACTGCATTGATAGATGGAAAACTCTAACAACTAGGAAGAAAAGGACTTTCCTCAACTGTTGGGGGCAAAATATGAGCATATTTGAGCTGATTCAGAACCAGAATCTTTTTTTTTTTGCAAATCAGAAAAAAATTAAGAGGCAAATCTGAGAACCAACAAATTAAATTGGTGTGGCCTAACCATGAAAATATGCAACCACCCTGGAAAATAGCAATTTCTACTGTCCTCTGTCCTGTCCTGTCATGTCCTGTCCTGTGTTTGTGTCACTAAAGAATTGTGTTTTTCCAACTCTTACATCATCCAGGGCTGGAAAAATTACCCACCTAAAACGTACAGGAAATAGATTTCAGGAAACTGTTTTTAAATATCACGTAAACTATTGACAGATTGCCTCTAAATTTCAGGAAAGAAATTATGACTCACAATCAAACATATATTATATACTAAACCTGTGTTGTATCGAGAAGAATCAACGTAATCTTTATTTGCAGAAAGTTTTACAAATATACCTGGTGAAATTTTGACGACTTACAATAATTGTAGGTAAGAGAAAAAACACGTATTTTGAGCCCTGTTGTATATTGTAATCTCCAAGTAAAATCCTACATTTGTAACTCCCACTACTGGCAGTCAGCAGGTTTCTGAAGCCAACAGCAATAACAAGTCATGAAAGTTCATCTGTGTTGGTAGTTACTTGTTTAATGTTAAAACTTTTGATCCAACACAAAAAGTTCTCCTAGAGTTTTCAACCAGTCACTCTGGTCTTCCTCAGTAGACTGACCCAGTGAAGCTTGTCACGTGGCTTCTCTGAAGTGTGACCCCAACACTGGGTCAAAGGTATCTGGGTCAGTCTACTGAGGAAGACCAGAGTGACTGGTCGAAAGCTCTAGGTAAAAGAACTTCTATGTGTTGGATCAAAAGTTTCAACTTTAAACATACAAAAACTCTAGATATCGTCTGTCCAACACGTAACTCAGAAGTTCTGTCTAACCTGTAATGTGCACCAGTCTGTTGTAGGTTGACACAAATCAATGAAAATTCTACACTGTCAGTTCAAGACTTGTAGCGGACCAACCAGGATTCTCCCGAATACATAATCAGTACATGATCAATACATGATCAGTACATGATCAACACATGACCAATCCGTGATCAACACATGATCAGTGCATGATCAATACGTAACCATATCAGACCGTAGGAACCTCACAGGAATGTAGCAAACCATTAACAGTGTAGAACAATGCTGTTTTCGGCTGCTTCAGCTTGCCTTGTGTTTGTTGGCGAAGTTCTGCGATGTTGCTGCTTGTCTGTTGCCATGTCTCCATGTCATTTCCTAGCCTGGTGACCAAACTTATTTGTAATTTCCAAGCAGATCCTAGGGTGGCAAAAGACAGTATCAAATTGGCCAGGCAGTATCCATTGGCCAGAGAGGGTCCATATGCCAGGCATTGATGCCTGCACCTTTCTGCAAACCCTTGGGTGGCGTATTGGACCCTCTCTGGCCAATGGATACTGCCTGGCCAATTTGATACTGTCTTTTGCCACCCTAGAATCTGCTTGGAGATTAGCCTATTTTAGCTGCCAATTTTCTCTTTTGTCCCAGCTCTCAGCAATTGGGTTAAATGTAATATTGACTTGGCAACTAGTTGTAAAATAGGTTTGGTCACCTGCTAGTTTCTTATTGGTCGAGACTTTGTGGTCTTTTATCCTGCAGAGCTGCTTTGTAAGTCTTTTCTGTTGTGTACTGATTTTTGCCGAAGTCTTCCTTTGTTCATTTTGAGTTAACCTGTTTTCTGCAAAGGGCTCGTCCAGAATTGTGTTGGTTAGAGAGTAGCCCGGCAGGGTTTGGGTTAAACAGGCGAAAGAAAGGATACAGAATTATGTGGAAGGAACAGAAATAGGTGAGAAATATTGTCACTTAAAGTTGGTCACCAAGATGTTAAATAACTTCTTGTGTTGCTAATTAAGTGACTGACAGTTTAAGGATCATGACATAAGAAAGTCTGATGCAAACATTTCTGGTCTTGGAAGAGATCTTAGAAGTTGAAGGTCTGGGCAACAAGAATCTTAAGAAAAAGAGAAGAGTAGAGGGCATTTTCAAGGAACATGTGAGGAGAACTGAGTTCTGAAATTATAGCAAACTATTGAGAGTTGTGCCAGAGATCTGTACAGAATTTACTTTGGAAAATCAGAGTAAAAATTACTGTAAAACTCGATCATTATGGTGATTCCAGATGCAATAGTGGATAAGAAAGATTAATGTGAATATAGCAATGTTTACAGTAATGAAGAGCCTGCTGAAAATGAGGTGTATGAATAATTATTATAGCAATTTTTACAGTAAAGATGCAGTGACTAATTTCAGCCATACGTGCCTAGCAGTTGTACAATGTTAGCCGGGGATTGTCCATTGTTTATAGCTGGGGATCATCCATAGCTGGGGATTGTCCATTGTTAGCTGGGGATCATCCATTGTTGGCTGGGGATCGTCCATTGTTAGCTGCTTCAGTGTATTGGGCTAACGTTACTGTATGCAGTTAGGTTTATGCAATTTTGTGTTAAGAGATTGTACCTGTACATACATATGTTGTAAGGGTTGAAGGGAGTTAACAGTGATTGTAGGAATAGCCTCTACCAGGCTTCGGGAGGCGGCTAAAATGGAGAGTAGAAATTGGCCAATTAGAGAGATACCATGCCGGGGGAGTTGGTCTGCTAGAAACGTACCCGTTTGCGGCAAACTGTACTCTCTATCGGACCAACTCTCTCGGCATGCTATGTGTCTATTTGGTCGATTTCTACTCTTTCCAGCCACCTCCCGAAGCCTGGTAGAGGTTATGTAGTGAAGACTATGCAGGCTCTGCAGTAAGGCTCCTGTATTGGTGAGCACAAACTATGCAGACTGAACAGCCTAAATGTCTGGAGCCGGGCTATGTTGCTGCTTGTCAGCTAGAGATTGTATAGGAGTAAGTTTGTACCCCGTTACCCAAATATGGGCAGGTACAAAACTGTAGCAAACATTTGCACCTGGGCTATCCATATATGGTCAGGTACAAAATTGTAAGGAACATTTGCACCTGGGCTAATCAAATGTGGACTGTAGGGCACATTTGTACCCAATGCCATATATGGGCAGGTACAAAACTGTGTAGGGAATATTTGCACCTGGGCTATCCATATATGGGCAGCCAGGGCAGGAACAAAATTGTAGGGAACATTTGCACCTGGGCTATCCATATATGGTCAGGTACAAAACTGTAGGTACCCAGGTTATCCTTATATGGTGAGGTACAAAATTGTACGGAATAATTGTACCCAGGCATGCCTAATATGGTCATGTACAAAACTGCTACAGTTGGAATATTTATTCTGCTTGTACGAAGGTCATCCTGGGTCAAAGGTTGTATATGTGTCAGCGTAGGTCATAGTTCATGCACTGTCTGTGACCTTCGTTTAAATACTGTTTTTTTCCTGCAGATCGCTACATTTTGTTTCTTGTTAATAACCTTCGACACCTTTATGTAGCAAAGTGATGTTCTTTTGCGGAGCAAAGGAAGTGAGACTAACGTCTAAACCAATCATAGCAAACTGCTCTGGTATAAATACATGTATTTGCACTGCTGGGGAAGGAATTAGCCTCCGTAGCAGGCTTATAGAACTGGGGGTTTGGTGGTCTTCGGCTGTTTTCTGATTAGCCTCCGTAGCAGGCTTATAGAACTGGGGGTTTGGTGGTCTTCGGCTGTTTTCTGATTAGCCCAGTTAAAAAAAACGAGGGTAAATCAACCAGGCCGACTATGTTGTCTATATGCAATCAGAAAATAGCACATAAAAGCTCCCAAAGAACCTGAAGACCCCCAAACCCCCAGTTTTTGGCGTGCTATGGAGGCTAGTAAGAAATGCCCAGGACTTTATATTAAAGCTGCAAAAATAGAAAATTGAGAAATTCACAGATAAAAACCTACAGTCAGGTTGTTGTACGCAGAAGTTTTAAATTGATGGATGTAAACAGAGTACAATAAATTTGGCTGGAAAACTTGTGTTTGTCTCTTGGTGTTTTGTTTCCCTGTTGTCTGATTGGTGGTAAATTTTGTTTTTAACTAGAGATTAACCTTTATATTTAGTGGACCGAATGAGAAAAATCTCCCGAAGTTGGAAACTTTGAAATACAACAGGTTTCCCTTGAGTCACATGGATTGTGTCCTAGCATTACTCTCCAAGCAGATGTTTGGGTTTTGGTTTATTTTTGGCGTGTGTCGACTTTTTTAACAGGCTTTTTTTTTTTTGCATCTGTAATATGTAATTTACTCCAACACAACGTAAAAAAGATACCACTGCAAAAAAGAAAGCCCGATAAAAAAAAGCTTAGAAACACGCCAAAAATTAGCCCAAACCTAGCCTGTGTATACACAAGCTCTCGGCTGGAGGTTAGGGCGGCGGCCGCCAGGAGCGCGATTTAGTCAGGCTAGCCCAAACCTAGCCTGGCTAAATCTGCCCTCCTGGTGTAATACCGGGCCGGCCGCTAGGAGCGCAGATTTAGTCAGGCTAAGTCCAAACCCTCCAAACCTCTGCTTGGAGAGTATCCCGTCCTGCAGTGCGGGAAGATGGCGGCCGTCGTGAGAGGCATGTTCCCGGTGGAACTCTGTCAGAATCGGACGACATCCGGCAAATCAGGCGGGAAGGGAGAAACATCCGAGGCAGAGACACGGCCGGTAGAATCCACGGAGATTCCTCGCTGTGTTTTGGTGGGTCCCAAGGGTAGGTAAGTGGGAAAAATTCGTCAATTTCTACAGCCTGGTGTGGTAAAGAGTTTTCTCGTGTGAGAGATTTAGACATGTTTTTCTTTGTTGTGGTGCACAAATTGTGAACAACTTTGCGAAATAAATACTATTCAGCACCTTTCTGGCCTTATATTACTTCGTTTTGCTTGGGTATGCCATCACAAAACTTAAATGATATCTCAGTGCAAAGTACTGTTTGAAGTAGGGTAAACTTTGAGTGGGGAGGGGGGCACTTTAGAGTCTGAGAAAAAGTTTGACTAGCACGAGACGAACGCCGAGTGCTTTTGTAGCACTAGTTCACATATCCTAGTTTGCTTCTACAGGTTGCTATAGCTATAGCTAGCTTGTGAAAACTGTGCTTACCAAGGTTCAAGAAATAAAATGGGACACATTAAATTTTTCAAGGTTCCTGTTCCATGCCTGCTACGTAGTAGCTGTGTGCTGGGCATGGGTAGCCTGGGTTCTAAACCCATAGCACACTGGACACGAAGTATCTCAGTGAGCCTGAGATACTTTGTGTCCAGTGGCACCCAGGCTAGGGCATGGGTAGCCGGCACAGTGTGCTTGTGTAGTAAAGTGTTAGCTTAAGCCGGTTGTGATAGTTCTAAGCACTATAAAACAGGCCAGCATGATTGCCGTGCACGCTGTGCTTGGTAGCTGTGTGCTTGTGTATGTTAACTGTTCTAGCTAAGATTGTGGAGATGCACTATAAAACAGGCCAGCATGATTCCCGTGCACGCTGTGCTTGGTAGCCGGTGCAAAACCAACTCCAGCTTCGATCCCTCACCTCCCACCCACATGTGGGGGTGAAAAATCGGCTGGACACAGAAACACACAGATTTAGACCTAGGAGAAAAAATTTTCCTGTTTCCCGACAGACCCTAGCAAAAACTGCCCACCCTAGCCTTTTTTGTGTAGACATATAAAATTTTCCAAGCTGATCACAAATTTTTCTAGTACTAGCTCCATTATCTGAAACTTGCGTGATGAAACACTGTACAAAATAGTTTTCCAACAAATATGAAAATACACGTGTCCTCATGCATGCTTGACTTTGTTTAACTGTACTGTATAACTTGGATTACTAGAGATTGCCAAAGTCTAAAAATAAAAGGAACAAACAAAAAGAAAATCCCTACATACCAACCCTAATTTTTTCAGGACCGAAACAGGAAACACAACATTTATGTTAATTTTTTTAACAGCTGTTCACTGTATTCTCTGCTGTTGTGTACAGCACACAGCTGTCCAGTTTATAGCTGCTGACTCTTTTCTCTGCTGTTCCAGTGGTAAAACAGCGCTGCTGTTCCAGTACGGCCTCAGTCTGGTGAGCCAAGGTCGCCGCGTGACCTTCATCTCGCACGAGACGCTCCACACGATGCCGCTCAAGGTCGCGGGGACGCAGAAACCCGACCAGATGGCACTCAAACAGCTGCAGATCTTGTGAGTTTCCACTTTTCTGTGCCACCCTCCTGCTCGGAAAGTCTGTATCTGTGTGTCTGTACATGAATCTGTATTTGTGCATGAATCTGTATCTGATTGCAAATAAAGGTCATGAATGATTCATATTACCTATTATTATGATTTCATACTACTTGTATGTACCATATGTACATTTGAGTTACTTTGGTTTTATTTGACTGATGTTGTCAACTTGAATGGTTCACTTCTTTTGTTCTTTTCTTTTGTTGAATAAATAAAAAAAAAGATCATGAGTGATTGCCATAAATAGTGCCCCCCTCCCACTTTTAAATGGCCCCCTCCCCGTTTTCTGTACATGTCCTGATGCTGTGATTGTTAACTTTGTGATAGTCTAGGTAAATGAAAATGTCCAGGACTAAATTTTGAAGTCCTTCTCGTATGGTACTTTAATTAAGTACCTGAATATTAACTTAGTCTACCATCTTGTGGTACATATACAGGTACCTGAACACCCAGGAGTCCTTACTGCAGTACCTGAGCTCCGTCCACACCCAGGCCCCCCTCCCCACCGCTATCCTAGTGGACAATCTGGACTACTACGTCAGCACAGCTCAGGTGAGACATAGTGACCCCCCATCTATACACACACACAAACATACCCAGTATTACCCACTCACACATACATACACACACAGACAGACACACATACACACACACACACACACATACACGCACACACACACACTCTCAGTCACACACACACACACACACACATGAATGCACACAGCACATACATGCATACAAACACACACACGCATACAAACACACACACATAAAGTCACATACACACACACACACACACACACAGTCACAGACACACACACACAAACACAAGGCACCCTAGTGTAGTGAGTGTTCTGCCCCATAGACCACTCTACAAGGGCACACACATGCACACACACACATACATGTAGACGCATACACACACATGTAGGTACACACATTTACTATATGTGTCCCACTCCCACAAGGCACCCTAGTGTAGTGAGTGTTCTTCCCCATAGACCACTCAACAAGGGACGGGTGCCAGAGCAAACGGGTTCGTGGTGGCTTTTGCACTTGGCCACCGACGTGGTGGTCAGGATCATACGCTGCCATACATACGCACGCATACGCACACATATCGTGCCATATATATGCACACATACGCTGCCATACATACGCACTCATATGCTGCCATACAAACACACACATACGCTGCCATACAGACGCACTCATATGCACACATGTGCCATATATACGCACACATACGCTGCCATACATACGCACTCATATGCACATATCGTGCCATACATACGCACTCATGCGCACACATACGCTGCAATATATACACAGACATACGCACACACATGCTGCCAAACAGATACACGGATACTCTGCCATACATACGCACTCATATGCTGCCATATATATGCACTTTTATCCTACCATACATGTGCACACATACGCTGCCATATGCACAAAGATTGTGGTCAGGATCAAATGCTGCCATACACACATTCACACACAAACACGCGCACACACAAACAGACGTGCACACACAGACTCATACAGTACACTCACACACACACGCACACACACTCATGCGCACACACACACGGGGACGCACACACACACACACACACAAATGCTCTCTCTCACACTCGTACCAGTGTGGTTTGACAGTAAATTCTTCTCATGCCCTGTTCCAGACTGCTGAGACAGCCCCCGTAGTGGCCAGACTGTGTGCTTACCTCGTCGACGCTGCTTTCTTCATCTCAAACAAACTGTAGGTTATAGTCCTGTTACCTTGGCAACTGTCTCCATAGCAGCACATAAGTTTGCATTTTTCATTGCTTTGTTATTCTTTCCCTATAGATTTGCAATAAACATATCACCATGTTTAAAGTTAAAACTTTTGATCCAAACACATATCACCATGCTAAAATACTGAATAAGAATACAATTAAGTTCTTATGTAGAGTTCTACTACAGTGTGAAAACTTACATGTATGTATTTCATGTGACAAAAATGTGGTTTAAACAAGCAACAAAACTTTTTATAAGTCTTGTTGTATCTTGTTGAAAATCAAACTCTGCACACTGGAAAGGAAACAGACATAGTTTTATGTTTTTTATTAGTGAGTGTCCTCACAAACTGAAAATAAAATTTGTTTCTCGCCTTTCTCTCCTGCAGGTCAGAAGACAGGTCCGTAACCGGGCGTGTCCTGTGCCCGGTGGTTGCCACGGTGACACCGCCCGGTGACCGGACGGCTCTGCGCTGGTACGAGCGGTTCCTGACCTCTGTCTGGGAGGTCAAAGGTGAGACTCCAGACTTGTTTACATCTGAAGACACTTGAAGACAATCAGTTTAGCAGCCTCTAAGAAAAAAAGTTGTAAAGTTTTGCGTGTCCAGTGATGAAATATTCTGTCCAGTTCTGCTACTGAATCAGTCCTGACGACTTCACAGCTCTGAGGACACATCAGAAAAAAAGTTTTCGTACAGCCCTTTTTTTATTGACTTTTTCAAGCACTATTCCATTAGTGAAATGTAGGTCTTCATCCAGTCTTGTACAACAGGAAAATTCACACTGAAAAAGTTGATGGTTGGATCAGTCCATAGGCCGAAGTAGATATCGCTCCCTGATTCAACCATGTTCCGTAACCCTGACGACCATGTTCTGTCCGCAGGTGTTGCCGGGCAGCAGAGTATCTACCAGCTGTCTAACGTGTCGAGCGCCAGCCGAGACTCGCTGGTCGTGACATATGAAATTAGCGACGCACTAAGGATGCTCGACGTGCAGGAGGAAGAACAGCTGGAGGTGGGGGACTGAAGGGTGGACCATGGAGCAACTACAGGTGAGTACAAACTATGGTGTGGTGGCAGGGCTCCAAATACTGGGTGCATGTGCACCATAGTGCACCCAATTTTTTTCTGTGGGTGCACCCAAATATTTTTGTAGGTTTACGCATGTAAAGATGTTAAATATATAGTAGTATTTGTCTTATATGGTGCACCCACAAACATTTTTGTGCACCCTATTTCTTAGTTTGGGTGCACCAGGATCAGGGCTGTTTTCCTTCCAATGGAAAGCTGGGGATGCTGGTTTAGTTTTTAAGAGTCAAGAATGTTGAAGACAACCCTGTAGGAATCAGTTCTCAGTAAGAAGTAGTCTCACTAGTCTATGTAGTGGGAAGTTTTTGTGTGTCCTGTGATGAAATATTCTGACCAGTTCTGCTACTGAACCAGTCCTGACGACTTCACAGCTCTGAGGACACAACAGAAAAACTCTCACATTAGAGTTGCTTTTCTTTAAAATTCTTACCTGCTTTTCTTGTCCTCCTTGCTTTATCCTTATTCCTCCAAAGTTTTCAACTGCATGGAGCATTTTTGTGGAATAATCAGTAAATGTTGTTTTTCCTTAAGGAACCAACATGTCTGCTGTGCAGCTGAGTTGAAGAATCTGGAGGCTGTTTCCTCAGAATTTAGCAGGTCAGTTCCTCCAACTTGTGTGTTATAACTACAGTAGTTTGTTTTGGTAGTTACTTGTTTAAATTTAAAACTTTAGATCTAACAAAAGGTTCTCTCACCTAGAGTTTTCAACCAGTCACTGTGGTCTTCCTCAGTAGACTGACCCAGTGAGGCTTGTCACGTGGCTTCTTTGAATTTCTTCCATCTGTTGTTTTTGCTTTATTCAGGCCTCCAAAGTTATCAATTCCATGGAGCATTTTTGTAGAATCATCAGTAAATGTTTTTTTTTCACAGAAATCCCTGCCTCTGACTTGTCTGAAGTGATACCCATCTGACCAGAGAGGACCGTAGGAGGCTGTTTCCCCAGAATTCAGCAGGTCAGTTTCTCTGACTTGTGTGTATAAGGCCTAGGAAAAAATGTTGGTTTAAAATATATGTGTCCTCATGCAAGATTTACTTGGTTCAACTGTATAAGTTGGATCACTAGAGATTGCCAAAGTCTATAGAAAAGAAAAAAGATAATCCCTACCTACCAACCCTTATTTTTTCCAAGATTAAAACAGGAAACACATTTCTTTCCTATAGGCCTTACAGACCAGCAGGTATCTGTGTGTCCTGTGATGAAACATTCTGTCCAGTTCTGCTACTGAATCAGTCCTGATGACTAAACAGTTCTGAGGACACTACAGATAAACTCTTGGTTTTTTTAGAGCCATTTTTTCATGCTTCACAGAATTTTTAAAACACTTTAAGTATTCCATCAGTGAAGTCTAAGTCTTCATCAGACTTGTAGCACCAGAGTTGAGCAGTCAGTAGTCAAAGTCACTAAATGTTTTTTTTTTTTTTTTCAGAAGTCTGAAATGATGCCCAGATGAGCTGGCGAACAGTAAAGTTGTTTCCAGAAAATTCAACAGGTTAGTTTTTTACAAGCAAGAAGACCCAGGTTCAATCCCCAGGGTTGGACCCAGACATGTCCGGACTTGCACCCAGACGTTGTGCCCTTGGGAAAGGCACTTAACACGTATTTCCCCCCTCAGTTACAGGGTTCCTGGGCCCTACTAGGGTTTGGGTTGGCGTTAGGAAGGGCATCCAGCCGTAAAAATCGTGCTTCAAAAAAAGACTTGTACCTCGTGCAAGCACGTCTAACCCCCAGTTGGGGAAAAATGACGTTAAATTCGGTTTAAAAAAAAAAGTTTCCTGATCATGTTTGCAGCATGAAATAACCAGAAATAGTCACAAACTGAACCATATTCCTGCCAAAAAGTGCTACTGTCAGAACCCCGTACCATCTAGTGGGAATCAGATTCACCAGGAACTGTCCTGGCAGACCGTGGAGGAGAGACTTAAGATCAATAATAATGTGCACCTTCAAAAAAATTCCAAACAACCAGCCGTACTCTACAATCAACTGCGCCTTGTGTCACATCAACACACTTACAGAACCAGAAATGCTACTCGGAACACCTTCAAACTAGACAAACCAAAAACAAACAGCACTAAAAAAGCCTTCACATACAGAACTACTGCAGCATGGAACTCTCTACCACATGGGCTGCAAACAGTGTCATAACATGAGAAGTTCAAACAAGACCTACTAAAGCACATGAGGGTCTTGAATAAGTAAAGCACATACGATGTTACACATTTGTTTCTTTTAAATGATTTTGTAATGTAAATGTATATGTAATTGTATGTGATGTATTGTCATGTCTTATGTACCCTCTCCTGAAAGAATAGCTGTCACCCTCAGGTGGGCAGTTAAAGGAGAGTTTTACCGCAATAAACCTCAATCTATTGTTAATTTACTGAATAAGAAAACGGTTTAACCCAACATATGATCTTCTAGTCATTACTGTAGCATTATAGCTTGCAGCAGTAAACATGTAAAAGTCTTGAATTGCGACTTCTGTATGTGACCGATTTTTATGTTTACCGAATGAAAACATTGTTTTTGCTCAGTTTCTTCTTCTTCTTCTTCTCCAAACGGTGACCTCTGACCTGGCCAATGACCAGATTTGTTGATGTCTATCACCATGGTAACGGCTGGGTTACATAATGTTGCAGTTTTATAGCAGGAGGGATTTAGACTCTTGTCACCATATATGTGTATGTGTTTTGAGTAAGAATTAACAGATGTCCATATGTGAAGGTAAACATTATGCATTTGCTTTGCAAATGTTACTTTAAATTTCTAGTTTAAATATGGGATTATATATACAGGAGGTCTTCACTTTGTAACAAATACGTGTTTTGTGCAAAATTCTCCCGCCTCAGGACTGGATGTATAAAGACTTGCAAAATAAATGCTGTGAATCTTAAAATGTTTGTGGTTGTTTCATTACCTCCATGAAAAATGGAGGTATTGTTTTTGGCATGTCTGTGTGCATGTGTGTTTGTGTTTCCGCACATTTGTAGTCAGCATAACTTCATAACCCCTTAATGGATTATGATGATATTTGCTATGCTGGTACATGTAAGTCTTAGGAAGCCAAAGGTCAAGGTCAAATATGGGCCTCCTGGTGGATGACCTTGGTACTGCAGCATAACTTCCGGTTTTTGTATCTTTTGTCCTGATAGCTTTTCCTGTCAGGAATAAGTGGTGTAAGTTTGGTCCCCCTAGCAGCTTGTTCTGGAACTGCAGGGCACTTTATGGCGAAATCTTTAAAAGCAAATCAATCAAACTGGTTTACTAGTTAAAAAGGTGTTGCAGTGTATCATGGAATTTTGCATTGTACAATATACAACAGTCTTAATGCATTTTAATCTAGGAGTTAGTGTATCCATGAGAAAAGTGTTATTTCGAACTGCAGTTGTGTTGTGCAAGTGCCGTAGAATTTCTGCCCCAAAGGAGAAGCAAAATAAAAGCAATTGTGGG